GATATGTTGTTTCTTGACTGCCCAACATTCTGCCCAATAAAACAAAGCTGGTCTCATTTGCTTAATTTGCTCATAAATAATAAACTAAAGGGAAACTTTAGGACGTATACTACAGATGACCAAGAAAGGGAAGAAGTAAGCACAATAATTGATAAAAAAGTCATCCGCCTAACCGTCTAAGCAGCATTTTGGAGAAAACACCTAAGTGTTCTTAAGGCAAACACTATTAGACGGCCAGAACTACGCGCCCTCCTAGGTGGTCGAAAAGGCAGGAAAAGGTGGACACCTAGGGGGCATGCATGAGTTTGGCAGAAAAAAATTCAAGAGGGGGCAAAAAATGTCGTTTTACCCCCTTAAAAGGGGGGACAAGGATTCGGGGGGCCATTCTTGCCCTAAAAAACAATTTTATTGAACTTTAGCGTGAAAAACAACTTGAAAAAAACTAGATTTGAAGAATTTTTGAGAGAACGAAATTTTTTTCGAAATCCTCAAATGGTTACTTATTAAAGGATATTCTTCCCCAATCTCTTTTCGGTTGTAAAAGAGGAGATTTGGGATCCCAAACATTTCAGTTTGGCCTGAAATTGAGTCCACTTCAAGAAGGTTGGTATATTTCAATAGATTTCATTAGGTTTTGTATTTTTTTCCATAATGTCAATGATGTTATTATTTGCTATCTGTATTTTTTCTTTGATACTTTGTGATATATGTTTGATATGTTATTGTCTATTGGAATTATTATTCTATTAATTAGTATAATAATTTCTTAATTCTTAATTTCTTATTAAATAATGTATGTGTAATGTGTTTTCTCGATGTATGATTCAGAAAACATAATTATTTTTTTAGTTAATTTTATATTTTCTTAATGCTTTTTAAATATATTGCATGTGTGATATTGTTTTTTGATTTTGTCTTCAAGCTCAACTAATCTTCGAGCCTCTGCTTTCTTAGCCACCACCTCTATTATCTTTTGTGCTTCTTCCACCTTTTTCTTGGCAGCTTTCGATTTAGAACCCTCAGCTTCGCGCTAGTACCTGTCTTCCTTATCTCGAGCTTCTTTCTCTCTCTTCTCAGCTTCTATTGCGCTCTTTCTTGCATAACTGCTCTAAGCTTGCAACCTTGATTGAAAGGGCCTCCTCGAGGATTGCTTGAGGAAGAGTTGCAAAGAACACAGGGTTTAAATCCCTAGGATTTCTCAATGGAAGTTGAAGAGAAAACTTGCTGAGAAATTATACTGTTCCAAAAGTGGTGGTTAAAAATCATAAGTTGTTTGTGGTTATTGCAAGAGCAAAGGGAGAAATACATGAGATTAATAATAGAAGTCTGTAGCAATTTCTCTTCATTGGGAGCCAAGATATTTTAGAGAAAGAGAGAGAATGAGGGAGGTTCCAGAGAGCAGCGTTTTGGCATCACCACAATTAAAGTATCTTGGTTATGGTTGGCAAAGGTGAAAGCAAGGCCGACTACAAAAACTAGAGAGTGAATAGCTTACAAGGGCATTAAAACAAAATGGTAGCATTAAAATAATATTAGTTTAGCCATTTAAATTATTAATAAATCCGTAGTCATAAATTTTCTATTATTATAATTTTAATTTTTTATAAACTTAGAAAATTATTTTTTAACTATTAATCTTCCCCCGAATCAGCCAAAGCACCGAATTGCTTCATTTTTCACACCGCACTGAAGTAAGCTCCTAAGCAAATTCAACAACATTGGTAAAAACAACTTAGAAAAGTGAGAGATAATTATCACTCAAATCTGGTCACATTCTCACACTCAAGCAAATTAGGGATACACCACATTGAACACATCTGAGCATCACCATGTTGCTATGTATCTTGATCCGTGTGCATGGCATTCCAGCATGTTCCTGTAGCACATTACTGTAGCACATTATTGTAGTTTTAGGATTAAAAAAGAGGAAGAAAAGGGAAGATCACGATTTCTCTCTCTGTTTTTTCTTTTTTTTAATTAAGGGAAGGGCTAAAAAAAGGAAGATTAAAGGAAAGGAGAAGATAAAAAAATAAATAATTCAACAAAGAAAGGATTCAATAAACATAAAGGATCAACTCTGATAACATGTCAGAGAACATAGAGAAAAAAGAGAAAAAGAAAGAGAAGAAGACGAGAGAAATATGAGAGGAAAGAGAAAGACATGAGGTTCAACCCACCCTCACGCACCTCTCAGCCTTATATTTTGTTAAAATTTATGATATGGACAAAACTGCTTATACAAATATAATTAGGACACTTAGGTCGAAAACTTACATAACCAAGGATTTTAACACGATGCAGCATGAGTGCATATATTAAGTTTGCTAGGGACAGAATGGAATTTTGGTATATATTTAAAAATCAACCATATCTCCTCAGCCATAGATCGGATTGAGGTACTCCTTGGACTGTTGGAAAGGTTTTGAGATTTCCTATTGTTTGGGGACGAGGCTTTTGGTCAGTTAGGTTCTAAAATTCTTGCTCAAAAGTTGGGTGTCTATAGTAGTCAATAGACTTAAATTTGGTAAGCAAACAATCACAATTTTTTTGTTCTCCTTCAAATGGTGAAATATACCAAGTTAAATAGACACAAACAAACCCACAATATGATAATATAGAATCACAAGATAAGAAAAGTCAGCAAAGTCTTTATAGCTTTTTGAAATTTTATAATTTTCAAATTTTATTTGTCAAACAGACCCAAACAGCACAGTGAATAATTTAAAACATCCTAAAATCTAGTTATCTAACAATTACAATCAAAAATACCAATCCATAAACAAAAGTGAAAAGGCCGATGCATGCAAATCATACAAATGTCTAAAGAGTACATATGATGTAAGTCTACCAATTTCTCCATAATTAACAAGTATAAGTAGACAGGCATGGTATGAATGCAAAAACATCTGCAGGAGCACAAATGCCTTAAAATCATTCCTAGGATAGAAGTCTTTGCTTTTATCCATAGTGAGAAGGCACAAAGGCAGAGTGTCTGCATGCAAAAAATCCACGGGAGCACAAGTTCACACCCCTCCCCACTAGAGGTTGACAACTAAGTGGTAAGCAATCATAACACATTAAATAATTCAAGAGAAACCTATAAAAAATAGAGTACTTTGTATCTTACTCAGGAGGCATATATCCAAAGGTGCACACAAGGCGTGTTGGAAGTGAGGAACATCCAACTTTGGTTAGTTTCTTTAATCCAAAATCAGCAACCTTCAAGGGAGAGAACATTATGACAACATCAAGGAATCAAAGAGATCTTATTTCAGTCTTATAAATACCTTCCCACGAAAGTTTTTGTCAATTAATATGTTGGCTGATTTGATATCTCTATGGATATATACAGGTACAGTGTGTTCGTGAATATATTCGAGACCTCTTGCTGAGTCTAGAGCAATTTGCAATATGGCTGACCATGGCAGTGGCTCACTTCCGCCTGCAAATGAAGTCCAATAATAGCAACAAAGACAATTACAACAGTTTATAGTTACAAAATCACTGTTTTGAACTTAAAATGTAGTGTTGGATTAAGAAAATTGACCAATCAACCAGTCCAGAGAAGTCCTCACCTGATACCCATAAATGTTGACTTATATTTCCATTTTCAATGAACTCATAAACAAGAAAAAGACAAGTCTCAGTGCAGAATCCTTTCAAGCGAACCTACATCAGGTTGTTAAGAAAACAATTAGGTGGTTTTGATAAAACCAATTTATCCGCCAGGGAAAGAAAATCATAGGCAATAGAGAACTTTCATTGACATGTCAAAGATAAAGAGACCAATCAGAAACCATGCATGTTGTAACCAGTGTTGCATAGACAAGCCTACTTTTGCTGTGTCGTGTGTCAGCACATGTTGAAAAGACAAAGAGACCAATCAAAACCTATATATCTTATAGTAGTTGTTGTGAGTGTATAGAAACCACTTCTGTTAACTTGGACTACAATGTAGACAAAATACAAGCCAATATACCTTTAAATTTGCAATTACAATTGAGGATACAACTTGGAAAAACAAATTATAGCAAGGTCACTGTAACTACAGTGAGCTATTGACTTCTAAAAACAATCAAAAGAGAGAAATCAACTGAATAAGGGTCCCTTATATATGAACAAAACAAGCCACAAAAATAGATCATAAAACTACACATGTATAGTATGTATTTGAAAATTCAGCACTACTCAAACTTACAAAAAAAATTATACATCAATGAACTTATAAAAACTCATCACAACAAGATCTCCATTACATCAACATATATATGCTCAAGTGTACAATGCATCATGACCATAAGAAGCCAATCAGAGCTCTTGGGTGCCTGGTTTACGATCTTGGGTCTTAGCAATGTGCCATTGGGTAACATGCGATGGCATACCTCAAAATCGGGCCAAATTATCATCTAAGAAGTGGGAAGCCAAGCATCTACTGATACACACATACAACATGGCAGGATTTGTAGAGATCTAAAGATCAAATCAAGTGGAAAAATCGTGGGACAAAACCGGGCTCTTAAAGCACAACCGGTTCAATTGAGTTCACAAATTCACAAAATTTCGACAAAGTCTCTTATAAAACCAAGAATTTAAGGGGTCAGAAAGAAGATTTAAGTGACTGATATGATCATGAAATCTCAGAGAAATATCAGCCAAAATTACTCTAAAATGCAAGGAAGAAAGCTCATGAAAACTATGTCAAAATATGCATGGATGAAGCCCTGAACGATATGGGTCAAGAGAGATTAATGAGTTGTAATTCTTTCATTTTTCAGTGGTATTTGAGTCTATGTAAGTTGAAATTTGTGGTTGCAACAGTGAGTAAGAGTTATGGAATCTTGTGTATGAAATTGTTGCTTGTAAAATTTTAAGTTGAGTATCAAGCTCAAGTGTTGTACAGAGAGCTTCCTAGACACTATATCACTTTCAATAAGATGCTGGAGTTCACGGCCATGAAAGGCCACAACTCCAACAGATTCAACACCAAAGTGATAGCCTGGGGCATGATCCAAAGCCTCCTAGCAATTTGGTTCTAAAAGAAGTTTGATAACAAGCTTCAAAATGCTTCTCTCCAGAACAACAATTTGGGTCCTATTGTAAGAAAGAAACCGGTGGGCAAAAGAAAATCATCATCACAACATTCAGGGGATACTAATGGAGATGATATGGAAAATTCGAAATAATGTCCCAGAAACAAAGATAATCCACTAAGGAATGAAAGCATTAGAATCAAATCAGCATCCAAGCCTTATCCCAACTATTTGTTGAAAGCCATAAAATATATAAATTATGGGGAAACACAAAATTCCAGTGGATTTGACAGTGAGTGAGATCTAGAAAATGTGATGAGGTCATTGTGTATATAAAGTCATAGAGAGGGACTTGAAGCGAGGCGCATCATAAATGACACATAACACAAGGTCTTGCTCCTCATCTATTAATATGTTTTCATAAAGTTAAGAAAACAGGCAGTGAATCTACACAAATCCCCACTCGAATACGAGGCAAAAAAAACGGATTATTTTACGTGAAAAAAATATTTTGAGATAACTGAGTGACATTATTTGCCTGGGGATCATAAGTACCAAAGAGGGGGAATGACTAGAATCCCATATATTACAAAAGATTAAATGAGCGGAAAATACTGAGCAGAAACTACTGGTAGTATCAAGGTGCCCTTAACAATGTTACCATATCACTATCATAATGTGCATCAAGCTTCTCCCCTCCTTCAAGATGGTAAATGGATATCTATCAAAAAGGCTTACTGGCCAAGGTTACAATCTACAGTCCAAAATAAATTTCACTATTATTAGTAGCAACTTGGTCGCTGCTGTCAATATATGATTCTCAGTAACTCTAGATGCTTCTTTTTAACAAAAAGAATATGATTTGTTTGCTCATTATGACACTAAATTTGAAGTTAGATTCCTGTGGATATTTTGTGGCACATTCAAACATGGTCTTTTCATAACAATGAGATTTCCGCTTCAGGAATACAGACCATAGTCCCCGACCTTTTTCCAGTTTAGACAACCAAACTCAACATAAGATCCAAACAAAGATACATTGGCAAAAATAAGAGCATGATGATTGCATATATAAACAATTTGAAAAGAGTCCACAAAGATCTTTCATAGACTAGCACCTATACAATAATCATACCCTACACATACAACCTTCTTAAGAAGTAAGGCCTTTCCATTTCACATGTTTTCCATGAAATACAAAAACAGCCTTAGGAAAAACAATCATCCAAATAAGTAAATCTTATTCAACAAGATTAGAAGTACAGGTTAAATAGACAATATGAAAGAATAATGCACATGAGTCGGAAGGGCTATTTACCAGGTGCAAGTGATGAACACAGGTCAAAACCTTCAATTCAGCTAGAAATTCTCTAGGTGCTTGCATATCCATC